TGTCTCTGCCAGTACTTTTTGCGCATAAGACTGGACGCACTGCTACTGCCTGGAAGGCTCCTAGACGAAGGCTAAAGGGACAGCGGGACAGGCGCCTCCTGTGACATGATCAGTGAACATAGTTCCAACGTAGGTTAAGAGCTGTTGTGATTTTTTCAAGCTATTTCGCTTCTTTTAAAAACTCACATTATTACCAATCTCTTCCACTAAAGACCGGACCGGGTCAAAACTGTTGATGGATACTTTTAGCAGTTCGGTAAGGCCATAGCCAAAAGTTATCGGAAGAAAGGTAAACGTCATATGAGATAACAGCGGCGAGTACGTGCGCATAAGTGAGGTGTCCAAGCGCAGGCATGGTCGTGGTTAATCTGGCTACAGAAGACTGGTCAGTGTCTCGGAAGCCGTAAATGGAATTTCGGCTTATTGTAGTTAGGGCTGCCATGTTCTGTCTAAGTACCATTTTCCCGGCAGAGCTATAGTGTGTTAATGGTAAACACTCCCTTATCTGTACATACACGAGGAAGGGCACCTCATGTACCCATATTAACTTACCAACGAAGTGGTCTTAATCTCAATATGGTGATATAAGAAGGCGCAAGTGTGATTAACGTAGTAGTCTGGTCACGTCTCTCAACGTGCTGGCATATTTATAACTGTTTGTTACATAGCTCTCAAACCGATAGTTAAAATATACTGACAAATTGACGAAAAACATATGTCGACCTAAATATTCTGACATTTTACTATTGGCGATATACGCAGCTTCAGTACCGTCATACGTATAACAGTTTTCTACGAATTAATTATAAAGGCCAGTCAGAAGCTGCACGGTATATAAGAACTTACGTTTATGGAATGCAATCCTTTTAAACATTCCTGGAAGTTGCAAAGCGTAAAAGAATCCATGGCGTCCTGAAAGGCTGATTCCGGATCCATGTTTCTACTTAATTGTTATGAACAGATTTACGTGGAGCTAAGAGGTTTATACGTGCGCGCAGACGCCAGTAAACTAAAAGATCCGCTGACCAGCCTGCAATCAAGAATTATCAAAGGGGAATATCCCTTATTTGCGAACCTAGTGAAAAGTACACAGACGCTGTAGTTTAAAGGCCATGATCTTTAAAGTGT